TTTTACCCGTATTGCCCCTTCGTCAGAGAGCACATGGAGCAGGAAGGCGGGGCGAGCGGGGTGGAGGAGGTTCTTGCCCCTTCGCCCCCACCCGCCCCCTCGGTTCCCTCTCGACCGGAGGAACTCAGTCCGGAGGAAGCTGAGCTGCTCTTGCATCACCCTATTGCCCAGGTTGGTGTGTGTGTGTGTGTGTGTGTGTGTGTGTGTGTGTGTGTGTGTGTGTGTGTGTGTGTGTGTGTGTGTGTGTGTGTGTGTGTGTGTGTGTGTGTGTGTGTGTGTGTGTGTGTGTGTGTGTGTGTGTGTGTGTGTGTGTGTGTGTGTGTGTGTGTGTGTGTGTGTGTGTGTGTGTGTGTGTGTGTGTGTGTGTGTGTGTGTGTGTGTGTGTGTGTGTGTGTGTGTGTGTGTGTGTGTGTGTGTGTGTGTGTGTGTGTGTGTGTGTGTGTGTGTGTGTGTGTGTGTGTGTGTGTGTGTGTGTGTGTGTGTGTGTGTGTGTGTGTGTGTGTGTGTGTGTGTGTGTGTGTGTGTGTGTGTGTGTGTGTGTGTGTGTGTGTGTGTGTGTGTGTGTGTGTGTGTGTGTGTGTGTGTGTGTGTGTGTGTGTGTGTGTGTGTGTGTGTGTGTGTGTGTGTGTGTGTGTGTGTGTGTGTGTGTGTGTGTGTGTGTATGTACATGTATGCATATGTGTATATCTATATGCATTCACCCCCCAGAACCCGAGCCCCGCGGGGAGCGGCGCTTCCACCAGTTGTCGTCGCTGCAGCTGGAGTCCGTGCGGCGCCGCACCTTCGCTAGCTGGCCGTCGGCGTCCGCGGACCCGGACGCCCTGGCCCGCGACGGCTTCTTCTACACGGGGGAGAAGGACCACGTGCGGTGCGTGTTCTGCGGCCGCCACATCGGAGCCTGGGCGCCGGACGACCACGTGCGGACGGACCACGCCAGGTACTCCCCCGAGTGCAGCTTCGTGGCCGGACACCTCACCGGCAACATCCCCAGGGCGCCGCGGACCCACGACGACGACGCCGGGCGACTCTACGCGTTCCTCGACGACTACCACGCCTCCAGGCTCGCCCACAGGCCGCCCGCGCACGAGGGGGAGATATCAGTCCGGTGAGGATCACGCCCTCTTATATAGCCTTAAATGAGAATGGAAACCTACATAAGAAGGACGTGTAACAAGAAAGAAAAAGAATTAGTCACTGTTCACCAAATTTCATGTTATAAGAATAGACAAATTTGTAAAAGTTGATATACGCATGTGTGTATGCATGACCGTTTATGACATACATTATCCCCCTGGTCTCTGCGCTCAGACGCCGTGCCCCTCCCGAGCGACGAGCAGCCAGCGTTCCCTGAGTTCGCGCGGAGGGACACTCGCCGCCGCACGTTCAGCGCCTGGCCCGGGGGCGCAGGGGCCCGCGCCGACTCGCTGGCAGAGGCGGGCTTCATCTACACAGGTGCGAATCGAAGGACTTTTTCTGCGACTTGTGGTAGTACGAAAATGAGGGGGGGGGTTAAGAAAATGTGTTGTCGAACTCATCTCGAATTTATATATACATTTTCATCCATTCGAACGGTGTAAGAGTTCGATCATGATTAATTGTGATGAGACATTTAAGGAAACTAAGAATATACGAATATATAATTGTAATATCCCTTTACTTACCAGTCTCGAAGAAATTGTTTTAATTCAGCCAAAGGTAGTAGAGAGGTGAAGGGGAAAACTAACAAGTATCTAATCCATTCCCCTTCCCCTCCCCTCAGGCGTTGGGGATTGGGTGCAGTGCTTCCAGTGCGGCGGAGGAATCCACACCTGGCGCCACGGAGATGACCCCTGGGCAGACCACGCCTACTTTTACCCGTATTGCCCCTTCGTCAGAGAGCACATGGAGCAGGAAGGCGGGGCGAGCGGGGTGGAGGAGGTTCTTGCCCCTTCGCCCCCACCCGCCCCCTCGGTTCCCTCTCGACCGGAGGAACTCAGTCCGGAGGAAGCTGAGCTGCTATTGCATCACCCTATTGCCCAGGTTTGAGCGTGCGTCGGTGGGTTTGCAGGAGAGAGAGAGAGAGAGAGAGAGAGAGAGAGAGAGAGAGAGAGAGAGAGAGAGAGAGAGAGAGAGAGAGAGAGAGAGAGAGAGAGAGAGAGAGTGAGTGAGTTAACAAATCAATCTAGAGAAACTATATATAGACACATCTTCCCTGAATGATAGTGAAATAGGAATAGTGATCATAATGATAATAATTATGACTATGGTGATAATAATTTAAAACATAATGATGATAATAATTATAATAATAATAATAATAATAATGATAATAATAATAACAATGATAGTAATAGTAATAGCAATAGTAATAGTAATAATAACAATAATAATAATAATGATAATAATAAAACCAACTAATTTCCAGCGGTTGTTATGCAAAGGCTTCGACCATAGGATCGTGAAGGAAGCCCTGAAGCAGAAAGTGGAAAAATCAGGCTTAATGTGCAGCAGTCTGAATGAAGCTCTCGAAATCGTCTTTGACTACGAGGACTCTATTAATGAATCGTTCTCCGAGAAGTCAACAAAACCACAGTGATTCTGGAAAAAAGACTGGAGGAATTAGGAGATATTCATTTAATACTTTATTATTCAGATATAGGTACTGCAATTCGCCGTTACGAGTATTAGAGAGAATTTATATATAAAAAAAAAAAAAAACTCAGAGTAGTCGGAAGGAGAGAGTAGGCGGACATCTTTACGGACTAGCAAGGGATGGTTTGTGACGAAGCTTTGTCTATCCGGTGTTTCCTTGCTCTGTAATGTTATGAAAAATATAATACTATAAGAAAAGTATATAGTATAAACAAAAATGAATTAATGGAGTGATGTCTTCGACCTTTCACTGATTTTCTTGTTTTTTCTTCACAAGACGAGACATTCATTTTCATTCATACCTTTACTACATTTGTTGCAACGAGTACGGTTCATTGATTTCTTTGTCTATGCAGCCCTTGCAATTATATTTCTGAATGAAGCTCTGAAAGATAGTTTGTAAGTGATGACGTTATTTACTTTTGAAAATAAATCATTCAAAGGAAGGGCCTGTACCCAATAGCAACCCCTGGGCCTGGGTTCGCTCCCAGCCGCCCTGCTCAAAAGAACCTTTTATATATGAAATCAGTAATTTGCAGTGTGAAATAAATATTTTTTATGGTCAGTATTTCATATGAACTGATATTTTTTTTCGCACAGCATTCGGGTTTGTAGTTGACTCATCTGATATACGATAAGAATGTATAATGGTATCTTCTGTCCAAGATAACGATAATTTGAATGTGTGCTTCTTTGTCTGAATGTGTGTGCATGCAATAAGGCGTGGTTGTGTGGTTGTGTATGAGAGAGAGAGAACGAGAGAAAGAGAGAGAGAATACGTGTGCGTTTATGTGTGTGTGTGAATAAGACAAAAAAAAGCAGGACGGGAAAGTATCCGAAGTTCTCCCCGAACTGCAATACACCGAAAACGTATTCGAGATATCCGTCTGTTTTCTTGTTCTTTTCTTCGTTGTTGCCAATTTGCTCAACGTAAATCTTACAGGTGTATGTATGTAAATAAACACATGTTTCTGTGTGGCTGTTTTGTTCAAGATGGATATTCTTAATCATTCTACTACATGCCTTTTGTAACATGGGTTTATGCTACGTCCCTTTTATGATTCCTGTTTGTTAATTTAATTCACGTCAAATAAAATGAATTTATGAGAAATACCTTCCTTTAATTCTGAATCCGTGATACCTTGGTAGCGTAGTCCATGTCTCTGGGCTGTCAGACCAGGAATGCAGTAGACGGATTGGTCTGGCAGCAGGAGCCATGAACTCGATCGACAAGAGCATTTGAAGATGTCGGTACCTATGCTTAAGGAAATACGTATCTTCAAGGCCTTGATACTGCCAGTTTTGCTCTATGGAAGCGAAACCTGGATGCGGCCATGCTACCCCGTCGGCGTTAGCTCCTTGATGATGATGATGATATATACTGATGATATATGATGATGATATGATATATATATATGCAGTGTATATATACGTATATGTACATACACACACATATATATATACATATATATACATATATATATATATATATATATATATATATATATATATATATATATATATATATATATATATATATATATGCATACATAGTGTGTGTATATATATGCATACAAAGGATGTGTGTATGTGTGTATACATAAATATATATATATATATATATATATATATATATATCATACGTGTGTGTATATATATATGTACAAGTTTATATATATATATATATATATATATATATATATATATATACATATATATATATATATATATATATATATATACATATATATACATATATATATATATATATATATATATATATATATATATATATATATATACAAGCACACATGCATGCATGTATGTGTGTATGTACGTGTTTATTTGTTGTGTGTGTGTGCGCGCGCGTGAATGTGTGTATTATTAATATGACTAAATAGATAAATTATACACATACATGATTAACTGCATGATAAAAGAACGATTTTGTGTCACTGCTCTCGTGACTTTGACCTAATCAACAAGGTCATTTTAAACTAATGGTCATATCTGCGAAGATTATATGATATACATATTATTTTACAGGTGTATTTATTTTTTAAATTGCTCTTCCGCTCTCAGTTTAAAATGCACCATGCCTTCCTTTGACTTTTCTTGTCTGACAGACTCAAGGCTCCGATAACGCAAGAGTAATAATAATCTTTAGTGAATAATAAAAACTGTCATGATATTGTATGTTATCAATTTATTTTCTTTTACAGTTCAAGTGTGCGTTTATTAAAAGTATGTAAATAAGAAAAAAGTCGCTTTCCGGTTCTTGAATTCTCGGTGAAACTAGCTCAAGTCAACTTCACCGTGGAACTAACGGTATCAGTTTCAAAATAAAAATAATCGCTTAAATTTGAAAA